CTCTCTCTCTCTCTCTCTCTCTCTCTCTCTCTCTCTCTCTCTCTCTCTCTCTCTGTGTCTGTGTGTGTGTGTGTGTGTGTGTGTGTGTGTGTGTGCCTTCTCGCTGGAGCACTCTCCTCGCCCTCCTTTCTCCCAAGTGTGGGTGACGTATCCACTTCCGTTACCTTAGTTTCCTAGAGGCAATGAATGTCCCTCTCCACCCTTCCTGATGAATGTCTTTCCCAGACTCTTCTTTGCATATCCATTGCAATAAGGTTGTCTTCCCTCGTGCCGGATTCTATCTCTCTGTCTGATTCTGCCTTTCATTGGCTGTGTGGCAGGGAACACCTGTTCTTGAATACGGAAGAATGAACATCGGAAGCAGGCCGTCCAAGAGACGCACCGACCAGGGTATCGGGTCGCTTCGTGCCATTCCGTGGGTGTTCGCTTGGACCCAGACCAGAATTCATTTGCCAGTCTGGCTTGGAGTTGGTGCAGCCTTAAAATATGCCATCGAGAAGGATCCAGCGAACCTAGACGTCCTCCGACAAATGCACAGGGGGTGGCCATTCTTCCGTGTAACACTCGACTTGATTGAAATGGTTTTCGCAAAAGGCGACGTTCGAATCGCAATGTTATACGAGAAGATGCTTGTCTCGGAGGAGTTCCAGACGTTGGGGGAAGAGATTCGAGCCAACTTCCAAAACACACGTGATCTTCTTCTGAAGGTGAGACCCTTCACACAGTCCCTCCTCATCCTTGTGACTTGTTTTTTCTTTTATTCGTAAGTTCACTCAAAAAAAATAATGAGAGGGCCTCTGTCATCGAATCGGCTTTTTGGAAATGAATCTGCAGTCGTGTACCTTTTTTTTTTTTTTTTGAAACAGAAAGCTGCAGTTTTATTAAATGATAAACCTTGAGGCCGGGAATTCCTCAACAACATCTCAACCCAGAAAAATGCTGGGGCCATTACCCATATTCGGCTTGAGCTGGAAACCGGGTCCAGAATCCCTTTGTCTGCAACTTCACAGAAAAACAAATGGACTAATCAAACTCCGCCCCTCCCCCCGCCCCCCCCCCCAAGCTATCAAACTCCATATGTCTGTACGCTTCTGGCCCTCCTGATTCCTCGTATCCTGTCCTTTTCCTGTTCCGTCCCCACTCTCTGTGCATTTACCCCTTTTACGTGCTTTAAGCCCTCAACCCTAGTTGTTCTCTCCACATTCTGTTCTGCGTCTTCCTGTGCCGGCTGCTGTGACTCGTTGTTGTTGGGCCTTGCTGGATACCATTGGAACTGGATTCCTGACCCCTCCACTGTTGCAATCTTCCCTAAACCCAGGTGGTGTCTCTGAAACTCGTTTATTGTGTCTCTGGCTGTCTCAGGGTTTTGATGCGCTCTTATGTCTGTTTCCAGCAAAATTATAGTAGGTTTGCTGTGCCTCCTGCCTGTGCATCTTTCGCCCCCCTAGCGTCTGTTGACATCTCTTCCAGATCGTCCACAGTGCGTACGCGTATTGCCGTAGTAGCTGAAAGGACCGTCTTTGGAATGACTGCCATTTTCGGGCGGGCGCTATGCCTAATAGCAGTGACAGCTTGTCACTTGGGAACGGGCAGTCGGTGTTTTTGTTCCGAAGGTCCTTTGCCCTTCCCGTATGTGGTCAGCCTCTGGCATAGTAGTATTAAGCAGTGCAGCATAGTTTCCTCTGCCCCTTCGCACACTGTTTGCTCAGCATTTGGTCAGCGTGTTTATGGTGCTGGCTCCTACGCTCATGGAGGCGAGATTCACCGGTAAGGCTGTGTGGTAGATTAACCACTCTGCATGCTTTTTGCCTTGCCCAGCCTTATAGAGTGCAGTGCTGACCAGGGTATATGGGGGGAAACTCGTGCTCGTGTAACCCCCACCCCATTCTGTCTTCCCATCTCTTCGCCAAAGGCTCAGCCAGCGGGAAGGATTGCCTACGAAGCCGAAGCTGATACACCACCTCGGTTGTGCAGTGAAGTATGCATTATCTCTCCTGGATACTCTTGTTGCTCTTCCTCTAAGGTTCCACGCCCACTCTGCCGGGTCGACCTCTAGTTCCTCTATCGGAGTCGCTGGAGCGTAGCTAGTGAAGTCTGTTTCCACCACCCTAATCTTCCGGACTGCCGCTTGCCGTACTGTGACCGGGGTGCGAGAGGATTTGTCTAGCAGGCTAGTAGCACTGGTTGGGTTCTCTATCGTGTACATTCCGCCGACAGCCAGTCTCCCGCCGGTCCTACCCTCCTCCCTATATGAAGGGCTTCGGTTGGAACACTGCCGCGGAGCCATGATGCCCAGTCTTACACTACCTATCTGGGGCCGTCCTCCAGGGCTTTCCTCCATTAGTCAGGGATGTGGATGAGGGCGTCGTTAAGGTTTTCCAGTAATCGATGGCTTCCCTTCATTTGCTTCCACAGTTCCCTTGTTGTCCCTTTTTGTTGTTTGTTTGTTTGTTTGTTTGTTTGTTTGTTTGTTTGTTTGTTTGTTTCTCAATCTGAATGGTGTGCTTCTCGTGACATCTTTAACTTGGTTACAAAATAAGGAAAAAGTAGTGACCAAGCCAATAAGATTACAAAATAAGGAAAAAGCAAAACTACAAAGTACGGGCGACAGATGTACTTGCATCTGAGCGCCTAAACCCATCACTCTGCACCCTCACATGCTAACCCCCCTAACCCTAAGCCCCCAAAACCTTAACCCCCAGATGCTATCTCCAAATCCCTAACCACAGATGACTACTGCCCTCACCCGAATAAAACACAGTCATTATAGACGGATTTGGGTCAACTTTCAACCCAGATGCAGCAATAATCACCGGGCGACGGGCGTTCTATTCGGGTGAACACTATGTAGCGCAAGACACGACATCGTAGATGCCCGTAGCAGAACCGAAACGCTTTGGTAAAATATTATAGGGCTGAGCATGAAGGTTCCTCAGGACCAAGAAATGCCTCAAACATATGTGGTGGCCCCCGGGCGGCCCGGCTGGGGAAGGTTGCCGGGACACCCTCCCTGGCACCCCGGGGCGGGCAGCCCCCCCCCTTATCTTGCCAACTGGCCCAGGTGTGCCTGGCCAGGCATGTTGGGCGGGGCGACGGCCTAGCGTAGGCAAACATTGGAATCTGGAACTGCAAATGGGAACAAGAAATCCCAAGCCACATGCTTGAATTGAAAAAATGGCGTTTTTCTAATTTTGTCCCATTTTTCCCCTTTGTGTTGCAGGCCTGCACTTCAAAAAAAAAAAAAAGCCGCTTTCAATTGAGCTGCACAACAACGTCCATGATAAAAGAGTTTTGTTTACGAAAAGATTAGTCCGTCCGTAATGGAGATTACATTGGTAATTTGGTAGGAATATAAGCAGATACGAAGACGGACAAATCTTTTCGTCTCCAGTTTAGGGTTTCAAAAGCCCGCGCATCAACAGGTTGTTGTCTTTTACGGAGTCAGCATCCCGCCATCTCATCCCCCGTCTTTTTGTCTGAACAATCTCACGGGTCACTTGTGTTGTAGATGCTCTTAGCTTTTAGTTGATGTCAACTGGGCATCGTTGTTTTCCTCCATTGTTTCCATCTTTCCATCTGTCCGTTGACTCTGTCTATGTGCCTGCTGATCTTTTCTGTCCGTTGACTCCGTCTATGTGCCTGCTGATCTTTCCCTCTCTGTACATCGATCACTCCTTTCGTCCTGCCATCATTCATCTATTTCCCAATCAATCTGTTCGTTCATCCATGTATATGGCCATCCATCCAGCGATCCATCCGGTCAGGCAGCCAGCAAGGCCAGCATGCACTTGCATTGCACACGTGCTCAGCTTCAGCTGTTGTTGAATATGGATCTTATGTCATTTGTCCGTTCGTCCATCCATACTTGGCATCCTATCATCCTTCCTCTGGCTGCTGATCGCAGTCTGTTGACTTTGTTCATTTATCTGCCTATATCTATCCATCTACGTGTCAATGCATCCAGCCAGCCAGCCAGCCAGTCTTCTGTCCATCTATCCATCTATGCATCCGTCCTGTTCGTGCTTCTGTTTCGTCTGTTTGTCAATCTGACATCTGCCCATCCATCCATGCATCCATCCATCCATCCATCCATCCATCCATCCATCCACCCATCTACCCATCTGTCCATCTGTCCATCTGTCCACCTGTCCATGGGAACCCTGTGATGAGACCCACCCACCCACCCACCCACCCACCTACCCATCTACCCATCTGTCCATCTGTCCATCTGTCCATCTGTCCACCTGTCCACCTGTCCATGGGAACCCTGTGGAATTTCCGATTGGTATTTTATCCATATGGTGAAAGTAGTTTCCCCAACCTGAAATCAACGGAACCAAAGGACTGATGAGTCGGTGTACAGCGAAACCTTTGCAAGATTGTATTCCAGAACGAGTTTGTGAAAGAAGTGTTTCCTGTGATTTCTTGGACAGAGCAACTATGCTGACGAGCCCAGGGGTTCAGACGCGAAGCGTCTGCTCTTTGAGCATTTGCCAAGGTGGAGAACGTCATGTGCTAAGAAATGGAATCCCCCTTCACCCGTAGTGACTATGCGAGTTTGATCAGGCATAAAGTGCAGGCCCATGGGTTGGAGCTATTGTGATAGGTACCTCAGTGTTAATCACTCAGGATTGTCAGCCCGCCAGGTGACCTGGACCGGGCGACAGTTATAGGCACCAGGGCTAGGCAGGTGCCCCACCGAGGCGAGCCTTGTCACACGGGTACTTCGGATGCCAGGCTCAAGCAGTGTTTCTATCGGGCCCATATACTACCCTAACTCCTTACCTGGGCATATCACTGACCATATGGTACTCTGCATCTTCACGGAGAATTCAATTTCACTGAGCCCATGTTGGAGACAGCGGGGCAGTTGTTATACCGTTCGTGCAGGTCGCTACTTACGTGACACAATTGTGTTAATTGAAATAAACTTCGAACATTGTAAGGATCACCAGAGTTATATAGTTATAGGCGGCCGAAGGCCGAAACCTGTCATAATGTCTTGATAGCCCCACCAAGCCCAGATCTAATCTATGACACCCCCAACAAGGACCGGGTAACCCAACCCTGGCATTGTAAGGTGTATTATTGCAGGCTTGACAGATCTATGTCCGTCCTTGGCAGGACCACCTCCATGTGCGGCCGGCCCTATCCAATCCCCGAGTTCTGCTAAGGAATTGTCTAGAACCCTAAACGCTAAACCCTAATCAGTATTACAATTGTACTAACACACTTCACAGTTCTATCCCTCCTCGACAGGGACACAGCCATTGCTTCCCTTACCAACCTCGGAATCATTGCTTGAGGCATCGTCAAGACCCTCCCTAATCAGTATTACAATTGTAGCAGCTCTGTACGAGTGTGCTCATGGGCTGTATGTGTGTGCCCGTAGGGTGTGTCGTGCCTGTACGGCTGTGTATTGTGCCTGTAGGCTGTGTTACGCGCGCAGGCTATGTCTCTGTCCATAGACTGTGTATATTGTGCCCGTAACCTACGTATGTGTGCATGTAAGCTATGTATGTGTGCTCGTGGGCTTTGGTGTGTAATAGTTGTGCTATACTGTATATGATAGGTCTATCTGTGCTGGAACCCCCCCCACAAAATCGCAAGTCAGACTCGAACCCCTGTTCATCGTCATGTAACAACTGTGCTCAATCATGTATGTGTTATGCCAGCAGGCTATGTCTCTGTCCCCACAAAGTCGCAAGCCAGACTCGAACCCCTGTTCATCATCATGTAACAGCTGTGCTCAACCATGTATGCGTTACGCCCGCACCCTACAAAGTCGCAAGCCAGACTCGAACCCCTGTTCATCGTCATGTAACAGCTGTGCTCAACCATGTATGCGTTACGCCCGCAGGCTATGTGTCTGTCCATCGACCGTATATATTGTTCCCATAACCTACGTATGTGTGCCTGAAAGCTATGTATGTGTGCCCGTAGGCTGTAGTGTGTAAGAGTTGTGCTATACTGTCTATGATAGGTCTATCTATTCTGGAACCCCCCCACAAAGTCGCAAGGCAGACTTGAACCCCTTTTCATCGTCATGGAACAGCTGTGCTCAACCATGTATGTGTTACGCCCGCAGGCTATGTGTCTGTCCATCGACCGTATATTTTGTTCCCATAACCGACACATGTGTGCCTGTTAGCTATGTATGTGTGCCCGTAGGCTGTAGTGTGTACGAGTTGTGCTATACTGTCTATGATAGGTCTATCTGTGCTGGAAACCCGCCACAAAGTCGCAAGGCAGATTCGAACCCCTGTTCATCGTCATGGAACAGCTGTGCTCAACCATGTATGCTACAATCTCACATGGAACCGATTTTTGTCATCCCAGACTCGAACCCCTGTTCATCGTCATGTAACAGCTGTGCTCAACCATGTATGCTACAATCTCACATCGGAGCAACCTATGTCCACCGTCCTTAGGAAACGTACTAGGCAACCTAATCATAGTCAATACCCGCCATACAATGATCCTGGACTGAATCCCCTGCCAGGTGCAGTCAGTCTCTGTAATCCTTTATCTGCACCAACCCAGGGGTGCTTGGCTTGATGTGTACAGCTGTATCTTGGTTAACAACTTAACTCACCGTCGTCGGTGTCCATGCGCGAGGCTGCAGGGTTTTGAACACACAACCTCAAGCGGCAACGCGCATTTCCGACCGGAGCTCGACCCACTTGAGCTAATTGGCTGTGCAAGTCGATTCGACGTCCTCCGGAGTGACTGTGGTCTGCTGGTTGGTTTTTAACTTGATTAGAAATTCATTCTAAATAAATATGACTAAACAGGATTAATATTTTATTTYTTTTTCAACAATTATTGCGACCATATAATCTAATTGAGTTTCTTTTATACAACTATATTTTATAAAACTATAACTATGGATGATGAAAGCGTGATGTCTTCTACGCACGAAGAAAGAGACGACCAAGAAGAACCAGTCGGTGTGTGTTATGGGTTGAAGAACAAGATGATGGAACTAAGACAAAGAAAAGAGAAGTGTTAAGACTTAAAAATGCAGTTTTCAAGGTGGCGTTATGTTACTTGACCACCATCTTGAGCAGTTGTTTGGTGTCCTTAACTATATATACGTTGGCACATATCTTTCAAATAAATTAGTGCACTTTGCAAAATAGATGAAGACCACAGCAGACGGCATGAGGCACTTGCCTTTTTTCTCTGCACTTCCTTCTTTTCCTTTCTGCTAAACTTTCTTGTCTTCGGCCAAAAGCATGTACCATAAGCCAAACAACTCTCTCTCTCTCCCTCTCTCTCTCTCTCTCTCTCTCTCTCTCTCTCTCTCTCTCTCTCTCTCT